AACAATGGAGTTATGGTGTTATGGAGAAGTGTGTTTCCTGCGTTCATTAGTAACATAAAGACATTGTCACTGGGAGTGAGGTGATGGGGCTGCTGAGTTGGTGGAGTTCGATACACACTCTGCAGTACCAGCTTAGAAATGCTGCATAACTGGAGGGAGAATTGTGTCTGAAGTGCTTTAGTGTCAACAGAGTGCAAGTGTACTGCTTGATTTTAAGTCCAGAATATCGCCTTAATGCTGATTTCACATGACTGTGGCTCCTGCCTATGGTTTAGGCAATAGCAAGTGCAGTACCACAGCGTCAGCATTAGGGTGCCTTAAGCCCCATGCACACGTTCTATTTTTTTCTCAGTTATACTGTATGTATTGCCTAACTTAAAATGGGTATACACACCTTTTTTACTTTTACCTACAGGTAAGCTTTTAATAAAGCTTACCTGTAGGTAAAATTAATATCTCCAAAACGTGCACCGTTTAGGAGATATTCTCTCCATTTAATCTGGCGCATGCGCTCCGTGCCGTTCCTTCAGAGCTGTGTGCTGTCATGACTGAGTGACGTCATCGTGGCCCGGTCTGTCAGAATGCCGCATCTCGTGAACCCAGTAGGGAGACAGGTGAAGATGGAAGCCTCTACAGCAGTGCCAGCGCGCCAAGCTTCATTTTAAGGTACGTTTTACATAATGTGCCAATTTGCAATGCATACTAGTACATTATGACATTACCTTGCAGGGGACTTTTTTTGTCTGCAGTTTACTACTGCTTTAACTCTTTTTGCCATTTTTCAGTCTAATATGACCTTCTGGCCCTAGTCTCTTTTTCAAATGTTACAAGTAGCCAAAGCTGATCTGTACACAAATGCTGAATTGCACTGGATTGCAGTAAAACTACTGCATGCACTACTTTAAAAAACACACTGAATCCAGGTCACATGGTACTTCTGTATCATTTGCACTGCATTTGTGACCTGTGTTTGGGGTGTTGTCAACTTAACATTGACACCCGCAGCCAGGGGCGGACTGACAACTCATGGGGCCCCCGGGCAATAGGGGATCATGGGCCCCTGTGTCCTTGCCCAAACTCAAAAAAGACTATGAAAAAGGTACCAGGGGCATCTCATGGGGCCCCCTACTGACCCCGCGCGCCCTCGGGCAGTGCCCGAGTTTCCAAATGGTCAGTCCGCCCCTGCCCGCTGCAGATCGCAACTGCAGTGCATTTTGAATGTGGTACTAGAAAAGCATACAGGTTTCCCACACCACGTTCTGGTGTGAACAGGCCCTCAGTGTCATGGTTGTGAACTCCACTCTGTGTTCATATTTATACATATGAACACATGCATTTGTTTAGATGATAGCTGAAACTATTTTGGTCTCTAGATTGTACAACCTTTTATCCCTTTACATCTGAGCGCTGACATATTTATTTAGTTTCATTGGTACATGAAAGAATGCAAACAAGAAGTCAGTTGTTCCATAGAAAAAGATTGGGATGGCTGTACACCCACAAAATGTGTAAAAAAGCACCACAGATGGTAGACAGGGGAGGCAAAAAAAACGTTAACACGTTTCACACTGCAAAAGTGATTTGTCAAAACCTACCTAGCAGGCCCTCTGTATCAACCTAAATACCTGACTACCCATCGGCACAGGTGTGTTAAACAGCGGGGCTGTCAGTATCCTCCAATTCATTTAAAAAAAGTCATTATATAAAGAACAAAATGAAACCAATAATAAACAAACATATAATCCAAAGAAATACATAATACAAAAAAGCATGCTGATGCCCGAACATTAGTGGTGCAAAAACTCCATAACTGACATATTAAATACATGAAAACCTAGAAATACCCAAAATGGGAGCCTAATCATAAAAATAAGTAAGGTTCCATTCAAAGATGAGGCCTGCTGGGATTCTTGTTTAAACATGAAAAAATCCTGCCAGTTAGGTTTTGACAAAGCACTTTTGCAGTGTGAAATGCATTAACCTTTTTTTACTCCCTTTCCTGCCATCTGTGGTGCTTTGTATACATTTTCTTGCTACGATAAAGTCGATTTTAACAATTTACATCTGGTTGTGCAGCTATCCTGATTTTTTTTTATGAAAGTGCTACAGCACTGGGCTACCTCCCCACATGATCCAACTTCCAGCTAACCCACCATGGAGTAGCGAGATTGTGTGCCAAGAAGTCAGTTGTGTTTCAATATGTAATGCCTCTGTGATTTTAAAATATTTGTGCAAATGTAGATTTATATTTTATAGAATACAGTAGATCCAAATGTGTATAAATGGGACGTTAAATGTGCTGTCAGGAGTCTAAGCCACATGACATTTAGGAGTAAAAACAACTTTTTATTCCATTCTACATAAAATAATCAAATATAAATGCCACAATATAAGTAAAAAACAAAAGCTCATATATGCCAATCCCAAGGGTGTAAGTAAGTTCCAACACTCTAAGATATGATCATCAAAATGTTGGTCTACGCATTTCACTGAATAACCCTCTTCTTCTGGACCGCATACATCAAACTTCATAAAATTATTCCCACCAGAAATATAATATACTTATAGCCACTGCTGCACAGTGACCAACCCGTATCACCCAGGGGGCATCTAAGTGGATGACCAGTTAAATCGTAATGAAAAATTATAAGTAGCCCAAGAGGAAAAGGGGAAACAAATGGACGATATCTGAAAAAACAGTAGAGTGTGTGCAGCATCTCCCCAAACCAAGGATCCAGATCCTTTCTCCTAATAATTTTTTATTACCTTTTCATAGGATGTTTTTTAAAGTTAGGCCCTGGGCATTTCTACCATGAGCCAGCAGACATCCACTTTTCAGAATTTAAAATTTTGAACTATCAAATATCATTGTGGCCCCCGGCTGGTTACAAATTCACTTAAGTGGCCCTCGCTCTTTAAAAGATTGAGCACCCTTGTCTTAGAGTGTTGGAACCTACTCATACCATTGTGATCAACATCTGTGGCCTTTGTTTTTACTTACTGTATATTGTGGCATTTATGTTTGATTATTGTATGTAGAAAGGAATACAAAGTTTTTTTTTTATTCTTATATGTCATGTAGGTTAGACTTCCAATAGCATATTTAAAATCCCATTTATACAGATTTTGATGTATTCTATGCGATACTTGTGGAATGATGCCCTAGGGAGCCATGATTTAGACATATATTTGTATACTTCACTCTTGCTGTTGGGAGATTGTTTATAAAATATAAAAATATTTTATAATAATAATTTACTATTTTACTGTGTGCTCATCTTGCTTGATGTCAGGGAACAGTAGCAGCATGCCAAACAACACTGCTAATGGGTTAAGTAATTTACGGAATGCTTTTTCCTTTGAGATCACTTGAGAATCAACAGTTTACAAAAATACATGAAATGATGTCAATAGGAAACAACTGTCGTAACCCTTATTTTTCCCTACACACAGTAATAACATTAGAGAGTGACTGCAGGCAGCAAGTGAAACCAATCAGTGAGTTAAGAAGGTTGCTCAACAAATAGTGCAATGTGCTTATATCGAAAAAGACTACTGTCTACTCATTCATCTTTATAAAACTAGTTGTCACAACTGCATACAACGGCACTGGCTTCCGATGGAAAAATTGCTGAAAACACTGCCCAAAGCAACAGATTGCCAGGCAAACTGATTTTTTTTTTTCTATTAAAATAAACTTTTTTTTTTAAACCAACAAACTCTTACTTTAAATAATGGAGTGTGTTCTGTAATTCAGCATATATACAGTTGTGTTCAAAATAATAGCAGTCAGACATCACTAACCTGATCAGTTACTGTTTTTGGTAGAAATTATATTTTTACATGGCAAATAATTTACTAGCAGGTGTAGTAGGGTAATAGAAATCCAACAGACCCAACAGTCATGACATGCATGCTGCTGATTCTGTGTAATTGAATCACTAATTGAAAGGGGCATGTTCAAAATAATAGCAGTGTGGAGTTCTATTAGTGAGGTCATTCATTCTTTGAAAAACAGGTGGCAATTATTGCCCTCATTTTAAGGAAGGAAAGCAGCAAATGTTGTACATTCTGGTTACAGTGCATTTCTCTCTGAAATTCTGAGGAAAATGGGTTGTTCCAGACATTGTTCAGAAGAACAGCGTACCTTGATTAAAAAGTTGATTGGAGAAGGGAAAACATATAAAGAAGTGCAGAAAATGATAGGCTGCTCAGCTAAAATAATCGCAAATGCTTTAAAAAGGCAACCAAAACCTGAAAGACGTGGAAGAAAGCGAAAAACTACTATTCGAATGGATAGAAGAATAGCCAAAATGGCAAGGACTCAGCCAACAACCAGCTCCAGGAAGATCAAAGAAGGTCTAAAGCAGTGTTTCTCAACTCCAGTCCTCATGGACCCCCAACAGGTCATGTTTTCAGGATTTCCCTCAGATGAAACAGCTGTGGTAATTACTAAGGCAGTGAAACTGATCAAATCACCTGTGCAAAATAATAGAAATCCTGAAAACATGACCTGTTGGGGGTCCATGAGGACTGGAGTTGAGAAACACTGGTCTAAAGTTACCTGTGAGTACTGTTACAATTAGAAGACGCCTATGTGAAGCCAAACTATCTGCAAGAAGCCTCCGCAAAGTCCCACTGTTGAAAAAAAGACGTGCTGAAGAGGTTACAATTTGCCACATTGACTGGCCTAAAGAGAAATGGCACAACATTTTGTGGACTGATGAAAGTAAGATTGTTCTTTTTGGTCTAGTGGCTGGAGACAGTTTGTCAGACGACCCCCAAACACTGAATTCAAGCCACAGTACACTGTGAAGACAGTGAAGCATGGTTGCGCAAGCATCATGATATGGGGATTGTCAGGAATGGACTCAGCACTGGTGGTGGGAGTCACCTGCCGTGTGGGCTGCAGTACCAGGGCTGACCAGCGGGTGCTCTCAGCAGCCAGAAGCTCACTTCTGCAATCAGCCAACACCTGGGGCTGATTGCAGGAGGTGTATTTAAGGAATGGCCAGACCTGCAGTCAGTGCCTTGGTGTATGTTTCCCATGAGCCCCTGTGCCTGGTATCCTGTGACCTCTGCTGACCGTCTCCTGTTGAACCCCTGGCTTGCCTGACCATCCTTCTGCCTGATCCTCTGTACCGCGCTGCCCATGAGTTACTGAACCCGGCTTGTGACCCTGACTATTCTCTGCCTGCTCCTCCGGTACCTCACTGCCCCGCACGTTGCTGACCTTACCTGCCTGACTACGCCTGACGCTACCCAGACGATCCATCCATCCCGCACGGATCCAGTCACTACTGTCCAAACCTGCCAGCCCCCTTCACATCAGGCTTTCCCCCGGTACGTACCCTCGGCGGACCCCTCTACCACAGTTGGGTGCACTCAGGGGCCGCGACCTGGTCTCAGTCCTGCGCCAAGTCCATCCCCACCATCAGGGGCTCTGGTGAAAAGGCAGACTGGGGCTTAGACTCCGTGCCCTGGGGAATCCTGTTCTGTGGGTCCACTAGAGATCCCACCGGGCGGTGCCTGACAGTGCCTTACGGACCGCCTGACCTTTCCACCTCTCCAGGCCTGACTACGCCTGTGTTCCTGAAGCCTGCTACTTCCCTGTGTCAGTCCACATATTTCTGGTCACACCCGAATCCCTGACAGGGATGTTTCTCATACTACAGTGTTGGGCCTATTTATCGCATACCAGGGATCATGGATCAGTTTGAATACATCAGAATACTTGAAGAGGTCATGCTGCCTTATGCTGAAGAGGAAATGCCCTTGAAATGGGTGTTCCAACAAGACAACGACCGCAAACACACCAGTAAACGTGCAACATCTTGGTTCCAGACCAACAAGATTGACGTTATGGAGTGGCCAGCCCAATCCCCGGATCTTAATCCAATAGAAAACTTGTGGGGTGACATCAAAAATGAGGCAAAACCAAGAAATAGAGAAGAACTGTGGAATGTAGTCCAATCATCCTGGGCTGGAATACCAGTTCACAGGTGCCAGAAGTTGGTTTGACTCCATGCAACACAGATGTACAGCAGTTCTCAGAAACAGTGCTTATACAACGAAATATTCATTAAGTGATTCAAAGGAAAGCAAAGTCTTCAAACATTTTTCAGTTTATATAGTGAATGTTTGAGTTTGTAAAGAAGAATACAAACACTGATATTTTTTTGAACAGTCTAATATTCACTTTTCTTCAATTTGTTTTAGAGAAACAACACAAATTTGATATATTTTTCTTCATGTTTTGATTTGGAATAGAATGTGTAGTGTTCCCAATGCATTTGTGTGTATGGAAATAAAAGCTATTAGAAGGATTTTGAGCTTTATTCACTTTTTTCAAACACACTGCTATTATTTTGAACACAACTGTATATAGTTACATAGTTAGTCTGGCTGAAAAAAAAGACAAAAATCCATCCAGTTCAACCATTAAAAAAAAAAAAATATATATATATATATACACCCACAGTTGATCCAGAGGAAAGCAAAAAACCCAGCAAAGCATGATACAATTTGATCCTGCAGGGGAAAAAATTCCTTCCTGATCCCCCGAGAGGCAATCGGATATTCCCTGGATCAACTTTCCCTGTAAATATTAGTATCCAGTTATATTATGTACAGTATATCTAGGAAAGAATCCAGGCCTTTTTTAAAGAAATCCACTGAGCTGGCCAGAACCAATTCTTGAGGGAGTCTATTCCACATTTTCACAGCTCTTACTGTGAAGAAACCTTTCCGTATTTGGAGATTAAATTTCTTTTCCTCCAGACATAAAGAGTGCCCCCTTGTCCTCTGTGATGACCTCAGGGTGAATAACTCTACACCGAATTCACTATATGAACCACTGATGTATTTATACATGGAGATCATATCCCCCCTTATGTATTATACATGGTGATCATATCCCCCCTTAATCTCCTCTTCTCAAGAGAGAATAAATTCGGTTCCTCTAATCTTTCTTCATAGCTGAGCTCCTCCATGCCTCTTATCAATTTGGTTGCCCTTCTCTGTACACATGTTGATCGGGTTCAGTGTTGGGACCGTTGCTTTTTAATATATTTATAAACAATATAGGGTCTGGGATTATAAATACCATTTCAGTCTTTGCAGATGACACCAAGCTGTGCAGTGGAATAACGTCCTTACAGGATGTCTCCAATTTATAAGCCGACCTCAATGCATTGTTTAATTGGGCAACTATGTGGCAAATGAGGTTTAATGTTGATAAATGTAAGGTTATGCACTTGGGGGCTAAGAATATGCATGCATCATACATACTGGGGGGTACAACTGGGGGAATCAATGGTGGAGAAGGATCTGGGAGTTCTGGTAGATCACAAGCTTAATAATGGCATGCAATGCTAAGCTGTGGTTTCTAAAATGAGCAAAATCCTCTCTTGTATTATAAGAGGTATAGACTCCAGAGAGAGAGATATCATTTCCCCCGGTACAAATCATTCGTAACACCTCATCTGGAATACGCAGTTCCATTTTGGGCACCAATTCACATTACATTGGGGAACTGGAGAAAGTACAGAGAAGGGCAACCAAACTGATAAGAGGCATGGAGGAGTTGAGTTACGAGGAAAGATTAGAGGAACTGAATTTATTCTCTCTTGAGAAGAGATTAAGGGAGGATATGATCAACATGTATAAATACATCAATGTAGTTCATATAGTGAACTCGGTGTAAAGCTATTCACCCTGAGGTCATCAGAGAGGACAAGGGGGCACTCTTTACGTCTGGAGGAAAAGAAATGTAATTTCCAAATGCGGAAAAGGTTTCTTCACAGTGAGAGCTGTGAAAATGTGGAATAGACTCCCTCAAGAGTTGGTTCTGGCCAGCTCAGTGGATTGCTTTAAAAAAGGCCTGGATTATTTCCCAGATACACAGAATATAACTGGATACAAGGAATATCAGGATTAGGGATATAGGATTGTAACGTTTTAATTTTTTTTGGTTGAACTGGATGGACTTTTGTCTTTTTTCAGCCAGACTATGTAACTATGTATACCAGTCAGTGCAGACTTTTTGTGGTGGCTCACCAGAAATCTTGTCCATATCAATCACATTTTCTCTGTTTTTGTGCAACCTGGGATAGATAATGTCACCTACCACCTGACTGGTTGCCTTTGACGATAGCCCTGTGAGTATTTGATCTAACCATAATCATAAATCAGCTACATTGGCTTCACTTCTCAATTATCTTGAGCTTAGCACCTGGAAGAATTTATCAGCAATATAAATGCAGCGGGGAAACCGCATGTGATTTAGAATGGAATCACATTCCTTTTCAAATTGCATGCTATTTTGTACAGTGCAATTTGCGTCCACACATTTTGTATTGATGCAAATCACACCGTTACTTACTTGTTATTGGCAAGTTCTTGACCGAAAGTATTGGTACTCATACTTGCCGATTAAAAAAAAGGATATTGGTGCTTTCCTAGTTTTAAGTGTTCACGGGCCTCCCAAATTCTCCAGATCTCGATCCTATTCAGCATTTTTGAAATGTGCTGGAAAAGCAATTCCAATTCATAGAGGCTCTGTTTGGATGGTTCAGTACTGTCTTGGCCACAAAAGAGAAACCTACTTAAGATTAGGTGGATGTTTATAAAGTTATAGCTGATTGATGTATGTCTTTACATGCTTAGAGACCAGTTGTTAGCCAGTTGTTATGTTTATTATATTAATGTATTTTGTGCAACAACTATCAGTATTAATTAGAGATATATTCTTCAACCAATAGATGGCAGTGTTTATAAGGTTGTAGTTGCATCTATGATTAAACCCTATATCTTTTCTCTATAGTAAAAGTTTCCTGTTTGCAGAGAAGCAGCAGATAAACACATGTGGACTGTGCAATGTCTGTTCTGTAGGGCTATATACAGAATCTCTAACAGGTTATGGGCCCAGATGCCCAGGCATAGCCTGCTGTAGCAAAGAAATGCAAGATACAGCAACAGAAAGACTGCAACAGAATAAAAGAAAATAGCCAGTAACAAAGCTACGACAAAGCTTTTATTTGCAAATCTGACAAACAAGAACTGATGGTCTTGGAAATTCAAGATGAAAATGCTGCTAATAAGAGAAAGTACATGGAAATGTATGCAGGCCAGAACACCCTTCAGATGAGTGGATAGAAAAAGATCAGAAAGTCCAGAGAACAATCTCTCTTAGTATAGATGATCAAATCTTACATATATGCAAGTGTGAAACTGCTAACGAATTGTGGAAAGGATTACAAAAGGTGTGTAAAATAGCTAGCTCATTACTAAACTGTATTTGATTAGAAAGCAATAACAAACCAAGCTGATGAAAGGCCAGGATATGCAGGATTACATAAGGCACATCTTGGAAATGGTTGAACGAGAGGTATAGTAGAAGAAATAAAAAAATTTCATGTTGTAGCACTATTACTTAGTGGCTTACCAGAAAGTTATGAAAAGCTTGTCACAGCACTTGTTGCATGTCCAGATGATGAACTGGCATTGGGATATGTTAAGGGCAAGCTTATGGATCAATACAAGTGTAAAACAGAAAGCATGAATAGTGACAGTGCTTCTGATGCAGAGTTTGCTTTAACCACCTTTAGCCCGCCATATAGTACAATGACGGGTGCAAGGTGGTTCTCTCGTTCTGATAGGACGTCATATGACGTCCTTCCAATCTCACCGTGCATGCGGACACAGCGGATCACGGAAAGAGCCGAAGATGTTGGCTCGGTCATGTGATCAGCTGTGTCCAATCACAGCTGATCACATGTAAACATGGAAATGCCGGTTATCGGCATTTCTCTCTTCTCGAGCTGTCACGCCGACAGCTCGAGAGGAGAGCTGGTAATTGGCTTTCCGCGGAGGGGACATGTACACTGATCATCAGGGCACTGATGATCAGTGTGCCCTGATGATCATCGTGGCCCCAAAAGTGCCACCTGTCAGTGTCCATCAGTGCCAGCAGTCAGTGCTCATCAGTGCCAGTGCCCATCAGTGCCACATCAATGCCACATATCAGTGCCCATCTGAGCTGCCTTTCAATGTCACCCATCAGTGCCAGTCATTGCCACCTATCAATGCCAATCAGTGCCACCTATCAGTGCCAGTCAGTGGCGCTTATCAGTGCCAGTCAGTGCCGCCTATCAGTGCCAGTCAGTGCCGCCTATCAGTGCCATATATCAGTGTCATGTATCAATGCTGCCTTTCAGTGCCCATCAGTGATGCCTGTCAATGCCCATCAGTGCAACCTACCAGTGCCTCCTCATCAGTACCCATCAGTGCCACCTATCAGTGTCCTTCAGTGCAGCCTATCAGTGCCCATCACTGCAGCCTCATTAGCGCACATCAGTGAAGGAGAAAAATCACTTATTTACAAAATTGGATAACAAAAACTAAGAAAAAAATTTTTTTTTTCAAAATTTTCAGTGGTTTTTGGTTTGTTTAAGAAAAGATAAAAATCCCAGAGGTGATTAAATACCACCAAAAGAAAGTTCTATCTGTCTAAAAAAAAAAAAATGATAAAGTGTGTTCAAAGTGTGACAGCGCTGAAAGCTGGAAATTGGCCTGGGCAGGAAGGGGGTGAAAGTGCCCTGTAGGCTGGCGGTTAAAGATGGAAAATAGGAATAAAAACAGTAACAAGCAACAAGAAATGTGAATGTTTTCTGTGCAAGATTCAATGCCATTTAAAAGCAGATTAAAGAATCTGGAAAGCTAGAAAGCAAAAACAAACTAAACTACAAAAGGCCAAAAGGGTGAGGGGAGAAACTGATTTTTTTCTTCAGATATGTTTTTCAATCCAAAAGTTGCACCTCATCTTTGCAAGTGTGGTGTGTTGATTCAGGAGTTAAGAGTCACATGACAAATTACATATATATTTCTTTATTCGCCTTGACCAGAATAAAGAGAAAAAAAAATAACTGCAGCTAATGAGGAAATGATAAAAGCAGAAGAAATAGGAGATGGTTTTCTTTACTGTTCTGTTTCACAGTGTCACCAGAAAGATACCTTTGAAAAATGTCCTGTATGTCCCTTGCTCTTAAAACTACTCTTATCAGTGAAGAAGTTCACAAAACAAGACAATGCAGTGACCTTCCAAGATGACAGTTGGGACATCACAAAAGGGGATGTCTTACTTGCAAAGGCTAAAGTTACAGATGAACTGTATCAGCTGAACTGCAATGAGGCAGTTAATACTGCCAAGGAGGAAAACCAATCAAACTGTATTCACACATGGTACAGATAACTGGGCACAGAAGTCCTAACATAATAAAGAAATTAAATAAAAATGACTATGCAAGTGGAATAAAAATTAGTCCATGTAATCAAGCCATAAATTGCATCAGCCGTATAAAGAGAAAAAATGACAAGAAAAGCCTTTCCAAAACAGAATAAAAGCAAGCTAAGAAACCTCTGGACTTTCATTCAGATTCAGATCTTTGTGATCCATTGGAAACAAATGACACCAAGAAAGAAGAGCTTTTTTTCTCCCTTTTATAGATGATTACTCCAGATATACTACGCTATATCTGTTACACAACGAAAGTGAAGTACCAGAGAGAAACTTGAACAGTATTTGGCACAAGTAAGAAACAAATCTGGCAAAATGTTGAATGTATTCCACACAGAAAATGGAACTGAATATACAGGTGATAACACACAGGCAATTCTCCGAAGCAGAGTATTTCAAACTACTCTACCATTCAACCCACAACAAAATGGGGTTGCAGAAAGAATGAACCAAATATGAGAGTGGAGGAACCATGTTGTTTGATGCAGATTTGCCAGCCACATACTGAGCAGGCAATTATGACCGCATGCTATCTTCAAAATCGACTACCAGGAAAATACACTGAGAAAACTCAATATAAACTGGAATAGAAAAGCCCCAAATTTTAACTATCTAAAAAATTTTGGAAGCAAGTCCTATTTGCACATCCCAAAAGAAAAATGTACAAAATAGGATGCTTCCGCATAGGAAGGTGTACTTGTTGGGAACAGTGAACCTCAAAAGGGATACAGAATTCTACACCAAAACACAAAGAAGGGATCCATCAGTTGTAACTGTTGATGCAATTTCACTGTGTTCGAAATTTCATGAACTGACACAAATGCTTCAAACTGAGGGACATTTCACATTTCAGTGTCACATGAAGACAAATGACAAAGTGACATTGAAATAGAAATAATGTAGACAATACAAATATTATAAAAGAAGAAACCAAGCCACAAGAGGTTTCAATCAGGAAATCCACCAGAAGCAGTAAAGTATCCCAGCCAAACACCTGTCCTATTGTAAGTGATTTCCGGCAAGACGAATCGCGATTAGAAATACGCACGCGCATAGGAACTCCCGGAGAAGAGTTGTCGGTTGTGCGCATGCACGCAGAAATGCGCACATGCATGTGCACGACGAAGATTGGCGCCAGACGGCCTATTTAAAGAGTGTCTCTGCCCATGTTAGATGCTGCCTGATCTTCAGCTCCCCCATGTCCTGCTTGTTCCTGTGTGATTCCTTTGTTACTGACCCGGCTTGTTCCTCACCCGACTCTGATTGCTCTCCTGATTGATACTGGTTCCTGACTTCGGCTCTGCTCCTGACCTTGGCTTTCATTCTGATTCTGTACTGTTGATGACCCTGGCTATTCCCATGACACTGCTCCTGTCTCTTACCCTCACTACCTGTCTTGCTCTGGTGCATGCCTGGTAATCTACAAGACCTGCTCTGCTTGTTACTACTGTGCCTGAATCAGAAGATCATCTGTCTTCCAGAGTCATCACCTGCAAGAGCTGCAAACAACAACTACTGGCGCTCTTGTTCCCCTGGGTCCTAGACTCCCTCTGTTCCAACTCCAGTGGGGTCAGGGCTAGTGACACAAGTGAGGCCAACCTCGTCATTTCAGTCTCCCATTAGGTACGTGACACCTATATTGCTTGCATAGGATTAAAACCAGAGCCAGATTCATGGGATGAGATGTAAACACTTCCAACCCATCAGAAACAGAAATACACCAGGTGCTTTGACAAAATGCCTTACAAGAAACAGATTTTTAGAACCGAGATCTGAGATGGCATGAATATAAGGACTAGTTGTTGAATGGTGGTGTTGGAATGCATTTTTCATGTATTTTGTACAACAACTATCAGTATTAAGTAGATATATATTCTTCAACTAGCAGATAGCAGTGTTTATAAGTTTATAACTGTATCTATGGTTAAACTCTGTCTTTTCTCTATAGTAAAAGTTCCTGTTTCCTGTTTGCAGAGAAGCAGCAGATAAGCACATGTGAACTGTGCTCTGTCTGTTCTGTAGGGCTATATACAGAATCTCTAACAATTAATGTCCTAGAAGTCTTGCGTTCTAAATAGTTAAGGACCTACAACCACTAATTCATGATCGAGCCGTGAACTTGTGACCACCCAGTGTATTGTGCATTAAATTTTAATTTTGGTCAACTGATCCTTTAACAAAAGCTGCAGAGAGCATTAACCAGCAAGGAAATGCAGCCTTTGCTGAATTAAACAATAAAGTCAGCACTCAAAAGCACTCGCATGGCAAGTATTTGTTAAATTTCTGAATTGGGAAGAGTTGTTATAAATTACCACACGGCTTGAAGTATTTAAACAGGTATATAAAATTAGAGAGACCAAACTGCCTCTAGTCACTGTGGAAATGGTTTCTGTGCACAAACATTTCTGGTACCAAAAGTTAACTAGTGCACTGGAGGAAATGACAGCAGATAATAATAATAATTTTCTTGGATGCTATTATTATTATACAGTATTTATATAGCGCCAAAGGGTTTGCTCAGCGCTGTACAGTAGCAGGGGGACATAACATGAGACAAGACAGTAACAATACACTACACGAGGGGTTCGAGGGCCCTGCTCTTTCAAGCTTACAATCTAGAAGGGAGGGGAAGGTGGCACAGGAGGAGATGGCTGTGGGGGATGGAGTGTTGGGTGGAGTGGAGGAGGTTAATTGTTAGGTGAGGTCGGGTGTTAGGTGAGCAGGTAGGCCCAATAAAATGTATGTTTTTATTTGTTAAGCTATCCTAGAGAGTTATTTGGAAAACGACAGTTGGACTTTAAAGGAAACCCACCCTACAAATACTAAAATCAATATTTGTAATATTGCATCTTCATAAGACCATATGATTGTAGGTAAAATCATTAGAACATTTTTTAACATGGGATATGTAGCACAGGTCTGTACATAGACCACCATTCTTTTCATCACTATAAATATATACTGTGTATATATATATATATATATACACATACACACACACACATATTCAATTACTATTGTACTTACTGTTCTGAGCCATCCAATGTCATCTGAGCGCATATATTACATTGTATTACATGGTGATGATGCAGTCTTAATGTATTTCACAGATGTCTTAGTCTGATTCCTCAGCAAGGAGCAATAGCATTTCTTTAAAAATCATATCAGAATATTAAGCATCAAAAATATTTTTAGTCAAATAAACAAATTTAGATATACAGTATGTGCAGGCAGGGCTGCTCCCCAGTGAATATACAGTGCTCAGCATAAATGAGTACACCCCTTTTGAAAAGGAAGATTTTAAATAAAGGCCGCAAAAATTGAAAATGAATGACAGATTTCAAAAGATAGCAGAACAAACCCCAAACAATTCTTCAAATATATTAATAGTAAAAAGGTCTGGTCCAAGCATGTAGGCCCTTTACAAAATAATCTAGAGTGGGAGACTGGGGACAAAGAGAAGGCAAATTTATTAAATACCTTCTGTGTATACAAAGGATGAATGGGGGAGCTCTGGTCCATAATGGGCATGGTATTGACACAGCTCCAGATGATCCACATTGGCTCAGAATTGATATGATCCCGAAATATTTAGACAGAATAAAGGTGAATAAAGCACCTGGGCCAGATGGCATACACCCACGGGTCCTTAAAGAATTGAGCTCTGTCATTTCAAAGCCATTGTTTCTAATTTTTAGGGACTCTTTAATGACTGGCATAGTACCACTGGATTGGTGTAAGGCCAATGTGGTGCCAATATTTAAAAAGGGGTCAAAATCTTTACCAAGTATTTATAGACCTGTTAGTTTAGCTTCTATAGTTGGGAAGATACTGGAGAGTTTAATAAAAGACCACATAGATGAGTTCTT